GCGATGGTATCTTAAACTAAGCAGACAGAGACATTATCTTGAGAATCACATCACCATCAACGCACTTGTTTAACCTTTTCCACTAACAGTTCACATGCGCAGACAATTAATACACAAAATCGCCCCACTTTTACATGTCAAAATCCACTTCAAACCATTGTTTAATCAATAATGAAGGAGCAGCAATCCGCCGCTGGTCAAGTTCCCGACAAAACTCCGTTTGCAACTGGTCGCGAGTACAAGCATAGATTACTAATATTCCGTTCAATCTTATACGACACAAGACAAGTATTTTTTTTTTGTTTTATAGAATAAGGGTGACAAACAAGTACACAGGCCACCGGATATTAAAGTAGATGCCGTGGCCCATAGACATCTATATCGATCGTCGATTAGTAATCAAAATGCAGATGCGTTGTCACCCCCGAGAACCAATATGGAATGCCTCTTTTCTAGTAAAAACGGAGACCCCATCTCTATCACTCACTATAAGAAACACAGCAGCATTAAGCTGTTATTTCACGCTGGTATTCTGGGAGAGCGTGGTCTGTCCCCGGTCGAACCGACCCACTCGTGCCGCAACCATAATATAACTGCACCGTGGCTCTACTACGTATAAAAGAAGAGCTTTTTTCGCACTCAAGGCTAAAGTAATTACAATATACGAATATTAGGACCCTAATGTGTTCTTTGGAATATTAATAATTATTCGTATAGTTACTCTGTACTGTAAGAAAAATCATTCTTCGCTGACGTTAGATTGTCAGCTAAGGCATTTAATTAAAGAGTTTAATTATTTTAAAAATTCAAATGAAGGTGAATTCTACTCTTTGGAATGATATACCTATGTTACATCAAAAATGCACCTCGCAATTTCTAGACATATATTTTCCATTAACAATACCTGCGGTGTTGCAAGTGCTCATAGACAACGCGGGAATATCTAACCATTATTCGCAATCCATATTTTTGTTTACTAAAATATATTTTTTAATCTCAATACAAAGAATAACTACAAATGGTTTTCAATTCTAACAAGAAATGTTCAAATAGCACAAGTAAATTGGGACAAAACCTAGAAATGGTTAATGGAAAAAGTTATTACGACTAACCAATTAATCGTGACCACGAGATGTTTTGATGCATGCGTCCGGAACGGTGTCCGAATTAATGTTTATTTCTCTGGAATTTGCACATTAATACACATAAATGTGGTGATATTTATTCGCAATAGTCTTTGAAGTTACCGAAGCTTTGCTTCATCGATAAGGCAACATAGTGTTTTTCTTTAATTTCACAAGCAGATCTACTTGTTGTAACTTAAAAATATTTCGTATATTTTTTAGATGTTGGTGCAATATTTTCTTCAATTTTTGTACTGCCTTACTTTGTAATTATAATCGTTATGGCCGTTAGTATTCCGACATTCCCTGCGATTAAAAAGTGCAGTCGTAGTCACCTGCCTTCATATCCATCTGTGATAAATTACGAAGCATTAGAGGCCAATGGTGAGGTGATCGTTGCTAAAGAACTAGCTAAAAACCTACTGCGTCCTTATTTGGTTGTAAATTGAGTCCATCAGTGTACCGTCTAGCAGCGGTGTAAGAATATCCATCACCCGATATCATCCTGTGGATGTCGTAAAAGATGTCAGAGGGCAACAAATCAGAAGATGGGGAGCAGCGTCTTCCTAATAACAACTAAAAATAAAAAAAACTGCGGTTGCCAACTCGCTAGCCAAGCATAGCAACTATGGCAAATATCCCCCCTATAAGCACAGAATAAATAATAGTACAAGAACAGAAAGACCACTCTCTGATAGCAAACTTACGAGTTTAAACTTAGTTACAACGTTGCTAATTTTCATAATACTTTGCACGCCTCGGAAGTGACCTTCGTGAAATTAGCCTACCGTATATATCGTCGAAAAAAAAATTTAACGACGCGCAAATTAAATCAAAATATACCTTACGTCCGCGTGCGAGTGTCTGTGTTGAGAAAACAAATTGAATCCTTTGATATTAGTTGATATAGAGTAGAATACACAGAGGTGTTATGCAATGTGTTAGTATTTCTTTTTTTTTTTTTTACTTTGTTAAAAAAAGGTTACCCCAACACTAGGATTTTCTGCTGTATCGTGGAGTCAGTTAACAAACATAAATTGCACAAGGACAAACATCTAGACCGGGAACAATTATTTGTAAGCCATACAAATACGCCACGGAGCCGTCACTTGTCTGTTTCACATTTTTTGCTATTTACAAACATGCGACACGCGACTTCGTTATTAATTAAAGAGTGGCAATGAGACGAGCTGCTACTTTCAATATTTTTCTTTTATCGACCTAGTGTTAAACTAATAACCAGTATATGCTGATCTTGCATTAGTAGGCAGTCAGTAGTACTGGGAGGTCTACTCACACTGATATGTTTTTAAGGTCATTGGTATTATACGCGAAAAACTTGAAAACTGCGAAGCTGTGGTCGGGTCACTAATCAAATAATAAATCTGCAACTATGGCATCATTAACTACGTACCTGATTATATAGATCTACCTATAAATAATAATATATTTACCTTTCGGTATCCTTAGGAACAGTAAAGAATCAAAAGTCGACATTCCTATTATTTATGCACCCGTATGCTATGCAGTACTTTTTGGCTTTTTGAGAGGCCATACTTGAATAAAAACTCAAAAATAAATATCAAAAGTGCCTAAATACTTATTAGAGAAAAATAATTTTTATGTTAACGTAAGGCGCGCGTCAGCTCGAGCGCGCCCGTGGCAACCTCACAGAATTAGCACTTCATATGAGGTCGCGCAGCGTAGGTATATTTTCATAATCTATGGGGAGGTATGTGTTAAGCAGTGAACTTCAATAGCCTGTAACGGTAACGGTAACGGTAGAGTCCATCAGTAGCAACCCACGAGGCATTTGATGGTGCAGTAGTGTCATTGTAACGTTTTTACTGTATTACTAGCGAGCCAATATGGTATTACCTAGATTTAAATAATCAAAGACCATTTTTGTATAATTTTTTTTCATAGGATAGGGTGACAAACAAGCACACAATCCACCTGATGGTAAGTGGTTACTGTGACCCATAGACATCTACATCTATCCTCAATAAAGACTCAAGATGCAGATGCGTTGTCACCCGTGAGGACTAAGATGGAATGCCTCTTTGCCAGTAAAAGAGTCTCCGGTTCTTTAAACCCACCATACGAAACACAGCAGCGTTAAGCTGCTATTTTACGCTGGTTTTCTGTGAGAGCGTGGTCCTTCCCCGGTCGAGGCGACCCATTCGTGCTACAACTATACTACTAATATAGCTGCAGCATGGCTCTACCATTTATGGTATCTAAAATAAAATCTTCAAGTTTTTCGGATTAAATCTACATCATATAATCCTAGATCCTTCCTGACATTGCTCTCTATCTGTTTGTAAAGTTTCATCCAAATCGGTTCAGTCATTACTAAGATTAGCCCGGCAGACATACAGACAGACATATTTTTTTAATGGTTGTTTGTTTCTTAATGGCATGCAAATAACCCTCAGAGCTTAATATTTTTTATTATTATTCTAAACCAGCACTTAACTACAATACCACCTGATGGTATATGGTGAGGTAGCCTAGGATGGTGAAGCGCACTGACTTAACAAAAGCCTATTCAGTCTTGCCTTGAAGACACGCACACTGTAATCGGATGGAAAGACAGATGCCGGCAACTTATTCCACTCCTTTGCTGTACGCATGATGAACGACGCAGATAGTTATAATAGAAGTCATTTAATTATTACAGAGAAGTTTTAATTTGGATATATATATATAAAATTATAAATTACAAGTGATGACGTAAGATAATTTACTACCCTATATTATTCCGTGAGTGTTGTAGGAGAAGACGACACCCTCAGGACAAAATGGGGCTACAAAATACAAATTTATACGTGGTAGAGCCATGCTGCAGCTTTATTAGTAGTATAGTTGTAGCACGAATGGGTCGGCTCGGCTGGCGAAGGACCACGCTCTCGCAGAATACCAGCGTAAAATAGCAGCTTAACGCTACTGTGTTTGTATGGTGAGTGTAGAGAACCGGAGACCCTTTTTACTGGAAATGATTTATTCTATGTTAGATCTCAGAGTTGACAATACATTTATATTTTCATTATTAAGTGATTATAGCACACATCACAGCATCCACTTACCATGAGGTGGACCGTGTGCTCGTTTGTCAATCTCCCTTCTAAATAAAGACGCGAACTTATGTTAGAATGTTAGTGAAAATTTCGTTTAAAAAAAGTTGAACACAAAAAATGTAACACGATTATTAGCGTGTAAATAAACAACTTACTTAATACTACAACTTATTTAATACACTCAGCGTCACAAAAATCGCACCTCTCTGAGTTTGAGCGAAAAATGGCTGTAATGGCTAGAAACTAATTATATTTATATATATATATATATATATATATATATATATATATATATATATATATATATATATATATATATATATATTGGTATGTTTGAAATGGGTATTTGAATAGCTTTACATTATTAATAAAAAAATCATGAAATCATTAAAACATTCATCATTATAGAGCGTCAAAAATAAACACTGTCAAACGCTAGTTACACCACCTAAAAAGGGTATAAAAGGGTCGATCTGGATGAAATATGGGTCGGTCGTAATTTAGACTTTGCAGTGAACACACGTAAACAAGTAACCCAAGTAAGAACAAGTAAAGATGGACACCAGCTCTGAAGAAGCCGCTCAAGTGATTGCCCTATTGCAGTAGGGGATGAGGCAGTGTGACGTTGCTCGACAGTTGAACCTGTCCCGTTTTTCAGTTCGACGGGTGTTCCAACGTTTTCAGCAGACTGGTGGTTATGTTAGAAAATCGGGATCTGGAAGAAAGAGATGACTGTTTCATCGTTACGACATCTTTACGAAACCGTTTTACAAATGCTGTTGAGTTGCAACAACAGCTTCGATCAACTCGGAGAACATCTGTGAGTATTTCTACGATAAGTAGAAGGTTATACGAAAAGAGTTTAACAGCCCATAGACCTGCTAAAGGTCCAAAACTTACTGCACAGCATCGCAGAGATCGCCTAGAGTTTGCTCGCAATCATTGCGAGTGGACTCTAGAACAGTGGCGGACCGTACTCTTCTCTGATGAGACGAGGGTCTGTCTCTTCTGCAATAACAGACGTAGAAGGGTCTACAGAAGACAGGGGGAGAGGTTCGAAAGCTTCGAAGAATCCGTCGAATACGGGGGTGGCTCGTGTATGTTTTGGGGCGGCATTTCCGTCGACGGGAAAACGGAAATTGTATGCGTTTCCCGGACTCGGGGTGGCCGTGGGCAAGGGTCATTAAATGCTGGTCGGTACATTACTGAAATCCTGGAGGAACATGTGGTCCCGTATGCTGGTTATGTCGGTGATGGATTCATGTTAATGCATGATAATGCTCGTTGCCACACCGCGGCTATTGTACGGGATTATTTACAGGAGGTCGATATCCCTGTTATGCATTGGCCAGTACGAAGTCCAGACCTTAACCCAATAGAACATCTCTGGGATGACCTAAAACGGCGCGTGCGAGCTCTAGATCCAGCTCCAACCACTCTTCAAGAGCTCCAAGTTGCGGTACTTGAAGAGTGGGAACAAATACTCCAAGAGGCTGTTGCGACCCTTGTAAGGTCCATGAAAGACCGCATGGAAGCCGTTATCAAGGCAAGGGGGTGTAACACTAGGTTTTAAGAACTTTTTTTGTATTTGTTAAGTTTTTTTTTAAATTATTAATTTGCAAATTTGTACATACCCTGTCTTTTCTCTGTCTCGTTATAAAAGTAAAATTCAATTAAAATTCCTGAAAGCTAATGAAATTACCTTTCGAATGATACCCTCAAACCACAACATTGCCATTGGCCTGTTGTGTTAAAATAGTATTTAAATAATTTTTTTTCGGATGTGGGATTTTTTTGTCGCCGAGTGTATTTTCAACAGTTCAAGTCCATTCAACCTGATCGTTCAAGTCGAACTGATGGTAAGTGGCTACTGCACACCTGCGGCCAACTTTAAGCAAAGAAGGTTACAGATGTGTTGTCACGTTTGAGGACTACATGGAACCCGCGGCCTGTAATTATGTAAGCAAGCACACCTATTTAGCCGCAGAAATAGGTAAAATGGCGGTAATTAATAGAATCAGGCGTTACTTTGCGGAAATCCATTATATTAAAGTTGGTAAAAATTACCTCGCGTACATCCGTTCGATAATCACGACTAATCCCATCACCACTACTCCCAACACCACTACACTAGGAAAGACACACCACTGACGACAATACGTATACAATACGTATACAATATACGTATAAACACAGAGTGCACGCAATTGAGGGAGGGCGGGATATGCTCTTCAAACTAGTTAAGACACATCATTTTATTTTATCGAGCGGATATAAGCGAAGTAATTTTTACCAACTTTAATAAAATGTTGGTAACTACCCAGACGAATTCCTGTAAGAGAGGTAGCCTCAGCTCATCGTCAGCTTTAACATGTATAATCTCCATGAGGTAATGTATAGGAGAGAGATATGTATCCAGCAGTTGACTTTGGATAGGCTGTAAAAGTAACGTAACGGAATAATAAAATGAAACAAATAAAGTCTATCTTCTACGTGATCGTATTTTGAATGATTCAAATTTTGAGTCAAAAATATCGAGATACTATAAAATCAAGCGACAAAGAAAACAATGTTAAAATTACTAAAATACAATGGACACAATTAATTTGACAACAGTTTTTAAACGCATGGAGAGAACGGAATGCATCCAGTATAATTTCGTTTCGAGTTGAAAATGACATAAAATGGTAGGAAATATGATGATTATTGCACAGCAAGCTCTTATCAAAATTGCGCACATATCCTAAAGAAATGATGGAAAAGTATGGCAAATATTTCTAAAATATCTTTAGACCTCGTTACTAAAAGAAAATTTATTTGAAATTTCGTATTTTAAAAGCTTTCTATAGTCAGAGAGCTAGTGGGGAGGTCTCCCACATTATTTCATATTACGTGAGCAACTTAGTTTTTCAGTTCGATCGTCGTTGCTCTTCATTTGAATTTTAATTGATTTACCACGTAGAATACATGCATTATATAAAAAAAGGTAAGAATAATTCAGCTGCCACCAAAATCTCCCAAAATTATGAAAGTGTAACACATCAAACGTTTTATGAAGAAATATGTATTCATATTTTTTAACTGAAGCCCTTGTGGCCAATGCCACAATAAAATAAAAAATAAAGGCAAAGCATAATTTTTTTCTATTTGAAAAATGAGATCCATAAGATTTTTTTAAATGTTCGGCTTTTACATAACACATAGGGCGAAAAGGCTGGGAAATTCTTTACGGAAGTAATTTATGCAGCCATCACATTTGTGGCGTTACCATGTAAGTGTGCACTTAGTTTTATGAAACCTTGTAGATTTCAAATTGCAATCATACGTGATAGAGTCATGCTGCAGCTACATTCGTAGTATAGTTGTAGCACGAATGGGTCGGCTCGACCGGGGAAGGACCACGCTCTCACAGAATATCAGCGTAAAACAGCAGCTTGACGCTGCTTTTTTTTCGTATGGTGAGTGTAGAGAACGGGAGACCCTTTTTACTGGAAATGAGGCATTCCATCTTAGTCCTCACGGGAGACAACGCATCTGCATTTTGATTCGTGATTTAGAATGGATGTAGATGTCTATGGGCCGCAGCAACCACTTACCATCAGGTGGACTGTGTGCTCGTTTGTCACACTTTACTATAAAAAACATTTGGTGTTGGCGTATTGTAGAATTCCTCACACCATTTCGTCCTGAGGGGGTCGTAAGAGGTGACTATGGGGATGCTAGATAAATCTTATGGCTTTTAATAGACGGCGGTACACCCATCGTGGTTCTTTTATTTGTGCAAGCAGCTACGCAGGTCTAATAACACCAGTATCACTGCGACGTGTAAGACCTTTTTTTTGTTTTACATGGGTAAATGCCTACGCATACCCGCCTCGCGGAGGCATGGACGGGTTATGTCGGACTCGCACCGACTAAAACCCTATGGTGTTCCACCTTCTTCGCATATTGGCAGGACCACTGGAACGCTTTCGCTCGCATCCGCGACCCCACCTGTGCCAGCTGCCCCATAGCGGCCCCTCCTCGAGAGAGGACTACTCCACCACTTTTTTACGTGGTAGAGCCATGCTGCAACTATATTAGTAGTATAGTTAGCTTACCATCAGGTGGACTGTGTGCTCGTTTGTCACCCTATCCTATAAAAAAACCCATTTCCTGCTCAGGTCTGGCGCACCAGAACACATCCTACGCGGCCTCCAACAACACCTGCGCCACGGCGCCTTCGTGTCCGATGCACGAAGGCCATGAGGCCAGGAAAAACGAGCACCAGACCAGACCCCAGAGGCAAATCTGGTCTATAATTCCGCCGCCAGCCAGAATTCGGCTGCGGAGGGCAGCGAGAGCGACGCCTTTCAAAATCGACAATATTCTCACCCCGCAGCCCCATCACTACCGCATCAACGGTGGCGCATCGCCATATCAACACTCCTCTTCCTCTGCGACTCCACTTCAGCTACAGCGATATGGGAGTGGACATCCTTCTCGCCTCAGCTTACCAACGCACATCCGAAGTCGGCTCGCAAAGCCCACTCGGAGTGGCCACCTCGGACCAGCCGAGTAGGTTCCTCTTTGTACACCGCGGGTAACCAAGCCACGGCTACTAAGTCCGGGGGGGGGGGGGGGGGGGGGACGTAAGCAAGATCTATTGTGATCGCTGATATGGCTATAATTCACTATAAACCAATGAATTGAAGAAGTTGCGTTAAAGGTGTGAGATATCTAGTTTCTATGATCGTCTGCCCGTCTGCCAAGCTTGAAGATAAATGTCCGATTCCTATATTTAAGGAACGTTTCGTTCTTCGTAACGATCCGTTTTATTACATCCGATGTGCATGGAGTTTTATACGTGATAGAGCTATCTTTTGGTTGTGGCACGAATGGGTTGCCTTGACAGGGACAGGACCATGCTTTCACAGAATACCAGCGTAAAATAGCAGCTCCATACTGCTGTGTTGCGTATGGTGAGTGTAGAGAACCGGAAACCGTTTTTACTGGAAACGAGGCATTCGATCTTAGTCCTCAAGGATGATAATGCATCTTAATTGAGGATAGATGTAAATGTCTATGGGCCCCCCACAGTATCTATTTACCATCAAGTGAGCTGAGTACTCGCGTGTCATCTTTCTTCTAAAAAAAATATATCATAAACTATTCATTCAGCAAGTTAGGATAGCTTAAAATGATTAGCAGTTGAACTGGGTTTTCATGCAATTCATTTAAAATTTTCAAAACGGCACACAAAATAAAAGGAAACGTTTTTAAATATAGAAACCATAAGCATAATAGTCACTTGAGCATAAATAAATTAAAAGTAAAAAAAAAACTTTTTTTAAAACAAGCTTTTTATTTAAATGCGCTAAAAATTATAAAATATACTTTTCCTTTAAAACACAACTTATAACGTCATTACACAATTTATATGATATAAAAGCTTTTTTTTTTATAGAAGATGGGGCAAACGAGCATGCGGCTCGCCTAATGGTAAGTGACTACCGCCGCCCATGAACAACCGCAACACCAGGGAAATCGCAGATGCGTTGCCGGCCTTTTAAAAAGGAGTAGGCTCTTTTCTTGAAGGTCCCTAAGTCGTATCGGTCCGGAAAAATCGCTGGTGGTAAACTATTCCACAACGAAGTTGTGCGAGGAAGAAAACATCTTCTAAATCGCACAGTGGTGGACCGCCAATCATCCAGATGGTGTGGATGGTATCGGGAGTTCTGCCGCGATGTGCGTTCGTGAAATTTGGCGGCTGGGTTTAATCCGAACAATTCCTCAGAGCACTTCCCATGGTAGATGCGAAAGAAAATGCAAAGAGATGCAACATCTCTTCGCAGTGCCAATGAGTGGAGCCGATCGGAAAGGACTCGGTCGTCGACGATACGAGCCGCTCTGCGCTTAAAATAATAAAAGTTTGTCGCGAGACGTTATAAGTTGATAGTAAAAGTTTAAAAGGAAAAGTTTATTCTATTCTTTTTAGCGCATTTAAATAAAAGCTTGTTTTAAAAAAAGTTTTTTTTTTACTCTTAATTTATTTTTTACTTTTTAGTTATCGCTGGACAGGTTTCTCAGTCTGATCATCATTGTTGCAAGGTCGTTTGTCAGTTAACATCAAACAGTCTAGCTCTTCAATATAGAGACTTTCTAATGATTTTACCCTACTTAAGACCACGTATGCTTCACCAGCAGCGAAGAGCTTCGAACCTAAGTATACAACAGCAATGTCGACAGTACTACCCTGCATTTTGTGCACTTTGCAAGCCCAACATTATATAATTGGCAGCATTCTTCTTTCTGCAGTGCTGTGACTATATTTTGCTGGAAATTGTAGTCTTGGGTTTAATGAGATGAACACCGTCTTTACCGAAGTCTATACGGACAGATGATATGTCAGTATCATACATTTATGCTCTCTGGATGCAGGGCCATATGATTTCTGTAATATGTCGAATGACACCATTCGCCAGACCTTTGGACAGTCAATGTTTACCAAACAATGCTACAGATTCGAGCAATTGGACCTCAATATCACATTCGAGGACTCCAAAAACCCCAGTACACCAACATTTCAGACGG